CTGTGATAAGGCATATGGGATATCCTGGTTGACATTTGCCTGTTCCACCACTCTGGGGCTCAGGATCTCCTGCTGGTTTGCTGAGGTGGAGCCTGCTGCAGGCTTGCTGGAATGCCTCCTGTCTTGGACTGCAGTCCCCTTTTACCTGAGTGATACAGACCTTTTTTTGCTGATCTTTTGTCTCCTGGACCAAATGACTGCTCCACTCCATCTTTCCACTGGCTCTGCTATTGGTAGCATCTGGGGCACTATTTTATTGGGATGAGAATGGGAGAGGGATAATGATCTACTTCTTACTCTGCCATCTTGGCTCCCAGAAGTCCGAGTCATACATTTTTGAAACTTCTAGGCAACTTGTCTTCTCATCCCCTCTACTTCATTCCTCTAGAGTTTCTGTTGTTTGCCTTTCATTATATTTGTCCACATTTCATTTCTCTTTGTTCTCTCAATGGACCTTAAATAAGGTGGGATTTCTATAGGAAATTTGCCTTGTTTTCTCTTCGTAGTATATAAACTTTGAATTGTCATCTAGACTTTTTATTTTAATAGGATAGGGACAGAGGAGTGTAATAGAAAGAATGTAGGACATGAAGTCTGAGGACCTGCGTTCAAAATTCTGCCTCTTTTACTTATGACTTTTATGACCTAGGAATAATCTTATCACTTCTCTAGGACTTGGTCTTTTAACATGTAAAATGAGAGATTTGGACTATATGTCCACTTAGAAAAAATATATAATCCTATGTGCTTATAATGTTTTAATGCTTATTAAGTTTCAACTTAATTTCAATTTAATTTATTAAGTCTCTGTCTTTCTCAAGAAGAATTATTTAAAACAAGTAATCATGTCCAAAGTCCATCTTTAGTATAGCATTACGCTCAGTTTTGTGGAATATCATACCCCCGGGTATAATTATCCTTTTTGATTATCAGTATCTGGACTTTTCTTTCATTTCTCATTGTCAGTAATTAGTCTTGTCCAATTCAAAGTTGATACATGAGCTAATTCTTCCTGGCAAGTGAAAGGCTCTTTGTCAACAAAGATATGGAACTTGGCAATGATATGTCTGAGGACATTGTTGAGCTCCTCTCTGATAGTGCCTTGTCTGTTCTGTGGCTCTATACCTCGCCTTCAAATGGCAATATTTCTAAGGAATGGTATTGTATGATTTCTTGACATACGATACTAAGGCTGTATGTTTTCAACATATTTTTTTGTTTGTTTGTTTGGGTGAGACTATGAAACTCAGGTTGCTTTTCCTAGCTTTACCTTCAAGGTTCATTGGATTGATTGCTAGAGATCTCAAATGTTATTTCAATTATACTGTTTATTCAAACTTTGCTCTGATTTGTTGTGGCAGATCTGCATTTTTGTTTTTTCCCCCTCTGCAATTATTAATTTCATTTGTAAGTTTCCATTTTCCGTTTAGAATAGAAACCCATTTGGTTGATTATTATGGTAGTTCTAGTTTCACGTCTTGATGGTCTAGTTGTTGTTTTGTTACTTTATTGGATCTGCGAACTGACAAATATGACCATTCCTTCCAGTTATGCAGAACACAACCTATATATGCTTTCCCCTTCTTTGTGACTGTTGTCAATTTCCTCCCATAAATCCTTCCTAAATATGTGTGCATCTACAGTCTTTGATATTTACTGGGTACCGGGTGATCAGATGAGTGATCCATTGGTTATTTCTCTTCACTACATGACCAATTGACCTCCTTTTCTATTCATACATCTACCTGATGACATCCCTTATACCACTTCTCCTCTGCAATTTTTTTTCCCCATAGGTAAAATGCTATAAGCCATGTGCTTCTCCATTGTCTCTTGGGTGACCTTCATCTTTAATTACTTGGAGACTAGTGTTCCATGTCTCATTGCTATTCAGTATCGCCAGAAGAATATTGATGTCAAATGTGGGTCTTTGATTAAGGGATAACTTATCATTGTAATAATATTCCTTTCTTCTCTCCTTTATTTTCACTTTTTTCTACCCTGTAGTATTAATTTCATTAGGGTTTCTTCTGTGTTTATTAATTTTGTCAGGGTCTGCCAGGTATTATGTGTGTGTGTGTGTGTGTGTGTGTGTGTGTGTGTTGAAGTTTTCCTTGTGAAAATCTTCCTTACTTTCTCCTACTTTTTTTTGTTGTTCTTTTACTATATTTTCTGCTTTTATTTCTGATTTCGATCAATAAACATTTTCAAGTGCCTACTATGTGCCAGGCACTGTGTTAAGAGATGTGGATACAAAAAGAGGCAAAAGATAGCCCCTGCCCTCAAAGAGCTCACAATCTAGTTGGAGAACAATATGCAAACAAATATATACAAAACAAACTATGTATAGGATAAGTAGGAAAGAATTAACAAAGGGAAGGTGCTAGAATTAAAAAAGATTTCTGTAAAAAGGTAGGATTTAATTATGACTTAAAAGAAGCCGTCAAGGTCAGTAGTCAGAGTAGAGAAGGGAGAACATCCAAGCCATGGGCAGTGACCGGAGACAATGCCTGTAGCGGAGAAATGGAGTGTCTTGTTCATGAAACAGCCAGGAGGCCAGTATCACTGGGTTGAAGAATATGTGTCAGGGAGTAAGATGTAAGAAGCCTGGAAAGGTAGGAGGAAGCTAGGTTATGTACAGATTTGAATGCCAAACAGAGCATTTTGCATTTGCTCCTGAAAGCAATAGGAAGCCATTGTTGCTTATTGAAGGTTCAAGGTGACGTGATTGAACCTGAGCTTTAGGAAAATCACTTTAGTGGCTGAATGGAGGATGGATTGGAGTGGGAGAGACTTGAGGCAGGCCGACCCACCATCAGGCTATTACAATAATCAAAGCATGAAGTGATGGGGATCTGCACTAGAGTAATAGCAGTGTCAGAGGAGAGAAGGAGGCGTATTTGATAGTTATTATAAAGGTGAAATTGATGGGCCTTGGCAATGACTTGAATATGGGGGAGGTGAAAGATAGTGGGGAAACCAAGATAACTTCTAAGTTGTGAGCCTGAGGGGCTGGGAGGGTGATGTTACCCTCTATAGTAATAGGGAAGGTGGGAGGTAAGGGGAGGGTTTAGGGAGAAAGATGAGAAGTTCTGTTTTGGACATATTGAATTTAAAATGTTTACTAGACAACCAGTTTGAGATGTCTGAATGGCAGTTGTAAATGCAAGATTAGAGGTCAGTAGAGAGATTGGGTCAGGAAAGGTAGACTTGAGAATCATCAGTATAGAGATGGTAATTAAATCCATGGGAGCTGATGAGGCCACCAAGTAAAGTAGTACAGGGGGAGAAGAGAAGAGGAGCCAAGATAGAACCCTGAGGGACACCTACAGATAGAGAGTATGATCTGGAAGAGGATCCAGCAAAGGAGGCAGAGCAGGAGAGGTCAGATAGGCTAGAGGAAAACCACGACAGAGTAGTGTCCTGAAAAGCTAGAGAGGAGGAGAGAGTGTCAGAGGCTACAGAAAGGTCAAGAAGAATGATGATTGAGAAAAAGCCATTAGGTTTGGCAACTGAGAGATCATTAGTAACTTTGGAGAGAGCAATTTCAATGGAATAAGGTCAGAAGTCAGATTGTAAAGACTTCAAAGACAGTGAGCACAGAGAAAGTGGAGGCACCCATTGTAGATGGCCTTTTAAAGGAATTAGCTTTACAAAAGGCAGAAGAGATATAGGATGATAGCAAGAATGGAAGGATCAAGTGAGTTTTTTTTCAGGATAGGGGAGACATGGGCATATTTATAGGCAGTAGGAAATGAGCCTGTACGGAAGGAGAGATTGGAAATATGTGAAAGAGGGGGGGATGACATAGAGGGAAGTGTGTTGGAGGAGATGGGATGGAATGGGATTGCTTGAACAAGTAGAAGGATTACCCTTAGTGAGGAGTAAGGCCACTTGATTATTTGAAACTGGGGTGAAGGATGAAAGAGTGACAGAAGATACTTGACTCATAGGTGAAGAAAAAGAGGAAATTTACAGTCAATGGCCTTAATTTTATTTTTAATAATACATGAGGCACAGGTCTTAGCTGAGAGAGTTGGGGGAAGAGGTACCATGGGAAGTTTGGAGAGGGATGAAAAGATTTGGAAGAGCCATTGTGGAGAGTGGGACAATGAGTTGGTAAAGAATGTATAGCAGGATTGCCTAGAAGCAGTGAGGGACCAGCTTATGTAACATAAACTTGTACTGAACCCATTCAGAATGGTTGCATGGTTTTCTCTACCTTCATTCAGCAGTATGTGTGTAAACATGAAGATAGGGAATTGTGGGAGTGATTCAAGGCTGAGGGTCAGCTGAGTGTAATCAATAATATAAGGAGGCTAAGGATTCAAAAGCGGAGGACAGTATAGAATGGAATTGATTTGTGGTAATGAGGCTTTACTAATACCAGGCACTTAGCCATCTTGTTGGAAGTGGCCTATCTTCTTCTTTCCTTCTTCCAATAACTTTCACTGATTTCCATCAGCTTGAAGGGATTTCATAGTGCATTTTGCTCTTTTTATGTACTTGTAATATTCTAATTTGTATTTTACCTATTTGTATATCTCAAAATTAGATTTTAAGCCACTTGAGGGCAGGAATTTTTTTTCTCCTGTCTCTTTGTTTATTATGGTGAGTTGCAGGTATAATGTTCTTAATAATAGTTTATTGATTTAACAGATGAAATAAAACAATGAATGAAGGAATAGTGTAGGTCATTTGAGGAGAATTCAGTTATCTAATGTGAAATGGTGAGCTCTAACACTTCTAAGAGATTCTTTTAAAAATTTAATCAGAGATTGTATTACTATGGTGAAAAGTAAGAGAAAATATCTTTAGCCACTTGTGTATTACAATCAGTTAAAATTACTTTAAAAATCATAACAGATACTTCAGTTACTCTTTTGAAAATAATTTGTTTTGTGATAGCCAGCTTTGTGTTGCTACAATTTATATCTGCAAAATGTCCTTTTAAACCCTAGATATTTAAAATAAAATATTTCTGAACTATTTCCCCCCAGGAAAGACGTGTCAGTGTTACCAATCAAATCGAAGTTGCCAAAAAAACAATAGTCACTGTGACTAATAAAATTAAAGATACAAAAGTAGCATATGAGGCAAAAATGGAAGAGAAGGAAACCCTGGATAAAAAACTTAACAAATTGAGGTAAGTTCTTAGTTCTTGCCAGGTTTTAAAGAAGCATTTAATAATAATAAGAGCTAGTATTTATATAGTACTTTAAGGTTTGCAAAGTACTTTACAAGCCTTATATCATTCTATCTTCACAACAATCCTGAGAGGAAGGGGTTGTTATTATCCCTATTTTACAGCCAAGGAAATGGAGGCAATTAGAGGTTGAGTGAATTGCCTAGGGTCACACAGCTAGTAACTGTCTGAGCCAGGATTTTAACTCAAGCTCTCCTGACTCCACACCTGTACTATCTTTCAGATATTTTCAGTTTTCCTTATCAGCTGGGATAAAATTAAATGTATTAAGCTAATATGGATTGATTTGTAAAATATTTCATGTGTCCACTGTTACTGCACATGGAGCATGATTAACATCTTTTTTATTGTCATTGTGATTTGACATTATGAGAAGCCTAGATATAAGATTTTACCCACCATTGTTCATTATTTTTCAATATCTGGTAATATTAGAACCACCAGTAGAATTTCGCCTTCTCTCAATGCATATATATTCAAGTTTTTATTATGTGAAAGATCCATTCTTCTTCCCTGTCATATACATATTAGTTATTAGTTTTTCTCCTCTATTCTGAAAAACCCCCCCCACACTTCTAGAGTTATATCACAATAGAGCCTGGGCTCGATTTTCCATCTTACTGGGAAGGAACAGAGACATTGATATGTTTTTTTAAATAACATTTTGTTTTTGTGATGTTTTCCCTTTAGTTTTAAGTACATTGGAGTTCATGATTCCGTTAGTCTGAGAATTTGCAGGGTAGTGGTCTCTTACTCATTTTGATCAGTGGATCATAAATTTAATCCTGGATTAGTGACCTTAAAGCTCATATAATCCACACCCCCATATGCTAATAACTGACAAAAGATAAACATAAAAACCTTTTTTTTAAGGCAATTGGGGTTAAGTGACTTGCCCAGGGTCACACAGCTAATAAGTGTCAAGTGTTTGGTCTGAGGTTGGATTTGAACTCAGGTCCTCCTGACTTCAGGGCTGGTGCTCTATCCACTGCGCCACCTAGCTGCCCCCAAAACCTTTTCTTAATATGATAAAGGATATATATCTAAAACCACAGAGGAGGATTATTTATAATGGGGAGACACAAAATGCATTCCCAGTAAATATGGAAGTAGAGTAAGGATGTACTCTTTTCTTGCTGGGATTTGACAATATTTTTAGAAATGCTACTTATTGGAATAAGACAAGAGAAAGAAATTAGAAGCATAAGCACAGGGAAAATACAAAACTATCTCTATTTTCTCATAATTAAAATTTACGTAAAGAATCCCAGAAAATCAGCAAAGATACAATTTGAGAAATTAAGACCTTCACCTAAGTAGCAGCATACAAAACTAAACCCTAATTACTATAAAATTTTCTATAGAACAATAAGGAAATAAAAGAAAGTCCCATCCAAAACACATGCGTGCACACGCACACACACACACATGCACAGAATCTTTTGTTAAGAGTCACTAAGTAGGGGCAGCTAGGTGGCACAGTGGATAGAGCACCAGCCCTAAAGTCAGGAGGACCTGAGTTCAAATCCAGCCTCAGACCAAACACTTGACACTTAACTAGCTGTGTGACCCTGGGCAAGTCACTTAAACCCAATTGCCAAACCAAAAAAGAGAGTCTCTAAGTAACAGGTAGAGGTAGTCCAGCTTCCCAGCCATGGAGGGTTAAGTTCAAACAATGCAATAAGGTTTTTTTTTCCACAGTTCTTACAATTGAAAAAAATTATATTACAAGACGTAATTTGGACTAAACCCATAATTGAATAGAAAGGGAATTAAGCTAGATCCAGAAGCAAGTCACAAGATGGAGTAAGTGTGGTTTGCCCAATTCCTAGATAAGTAAAAAAGAAACAACGACACCCAAGGGTCAGGTTTAAGAGTTATTTTTGTCTTCTCCCTGTCTGACTCTTGAATATTTTTGTTGACTACGATCCTATTTTTCTTAGGGATTGAGAAACTGAGGGAAAGCAAATCTGCACAATATTCTGCTATGACCCCTTCTCTCTGCTGGATTCTACACCTCAGTTGCTTGTTATCTGCAGTTACCCCTACCTTCTGGCACTTATATGTATGTCTCTGCCCCTGTAAAATTATAGGGAACACACATTTCCCTCAAACATTTATCAAGTAACTTTTTTTTTTTTGGCAAGGCAATTGGGGTTAAGTCACACTCCCAGAGTCACACTGCTAGTAAGTGTTATGTATCTGAGGCCAGATTTGAACTCAGGTCCTCCTGATTCCAGGGCCAGTGCTCTATCCACTGCAGCACTTAGCTGCTCCCAATCAAGAAACTTTTAGATGATGCTGGTTATTTCAATTGTCTTGCCTATGTTTTCTTTCTTAGAATTCAGTATTTCAGTGCATCCATGATTTCATTGGCATGCTTATCTCCTACAGCGAGGCACATTATAACTTATCTATGTTCTCTCATTCAGTGCAATTTTTGTTCCTATCTTCCCATAAATGCTCCATGGAGGATCTACATAACATGCAAGAAACCTTGTTTATTTTTAACATTCCTCAGGTTCCTATCAAGCATTAAGCGACCCATCTCATATCTCTTGCTACTTAACAAACCTATCATCCAATCATCCATTACCCACGTGATCATTCTAATGACATTTCTTGCATATAAATCATCTCTGGTACTAAAATGCAACCTACATATACCCACCATGCTTCTCTTCCCAGGCCTCTGAAATCAACCACCATTTTGATTCTTTTGAGATTGTGTGGTTGTATGATTTACAGCTATGTAGCATCACAGGAAGAATACCGGTGTTAAAAAAATTAGATTTTGTTTCAAGGAACAGCTTGGGATAATTGAGAACACTGTACATTTCCTCAAACGCAATTCAGTTTGTGATACTTTCAATTCAATTCTGTGACTTCCTTTCCAAAGTATATATACTGATGGACTAATTCAATGAACTGGTTCTTCAGCTTTTTCCATCTATTTGTTTTTCCTGGGTGGGTCATGGTCATGGATTTCATTGAAGAGATCCTATCCTACTGGGGGACTTGATACAACTGGCAAAAATTTATTCACCGACAGGAACATCTGGAAGATCTAAACATCAAAAGGAAATTCCACCTCTGTTTGCATTCTGATTAGGATATCTTCCCTGACAGTGGCAAATACCAGTGTTGAGAATTTATTTTCCTTCTTTATGCCTTGTTTGTCATTGATAATCAGAAGATATTTGAACAAAGTTTACCAGCAGTTATATCTACAGAGGATTTTTCTATCATTTTAACACATACATTGGCAACATTATGGAAGTGTTCTACTATCAAGTTGAACACTTGAAAAAACCCAACAAAAAAGAAACTTGAAATAAAGTTTATCATCATATCACTGAAGGTTTTCCATAATGAAAAAGGAAAGTACAAACAGTTAATTGATGGTCATTTGTAGAAGCAAACAGGTTAGTGATAAATGTTTCATCAGAGGTGTAAAATACACTGTAATCTTCAAAGTAGAATGTAAGTTGTTTCCAGATGTTGTTGACAGCTGCAGGGAGGTATCACAAGCAGTGCTGCTCATGTAAAAGCTGAGTGACTCATAGCTGTTCATGAATCTGCAGTAAGTACTGAGCACATCCAAGTCTATGACATCTCCCACTTTAGCTCAATATTTTGAAGCTGTTGTTCAGCTTTCTCATGTGTCAACTACAAAGTACAAATTAAGAAGATTTATAAAATCACAGATTGCATCCATTATGTGTATCACAGCTATGGTATGCTGCTTTCAGAAGAATGCAAGTAAAATTGAAAAGAGAAAGAGTTTTTTCCCTATACCATTCCAGGACTGCTGCTACTCATATCTTATAACTAGAATAGCCTGTAAATTTTTATATAATGCAAGCAATAGTATGCAGAGTGCACCTTTAACAGCATTCTACTAGTATTGAAACAACAGTACGACATTTACTGATGGAACTAACAATAGCTATCTCTGTGAAACACACATTTGCCAAATAAAATGATAATGATTTCTAGTCAGTTATTGAAGCAGGCAACTGAATTCTTAAACTTTTTCATTATTTTTGTTGACACTCTAGATCTTTTGGTCCTCCAAATGACTTTTTATTTTTTTTTATCTAGTTCCATAAATATGCATCTGACTTTTTGTTATGGAATCAAATCTGCAAGTTAATTTTTCATTTTTGTTATATGGCATGGCACAGCCGTGAGCGCTGAATATTTCTGCAACTATTTAAGTTGTTCTTTATTTCTTTAAAGATCATTTTGTAATTGAATCTACATAGGCATTGAGTGTGCTTTCATAGGTTGACCCCTGAATATTTTATGCATTTTAAGGGTTTTTTTCTAATTATTTCAATGGAATTTTCCCTTTGTACTATCACGTCTTAGATTTTGTTATTATTCTATTGAAAGGCTGTGGATTTTTATGAACTTGTTTTTTAGTCTGCAACTTTGCTGAAACTATTATTTGTCTCGGTATCTTTGCTGATTCCTTGGGATTTTCTGTGTAAACCATTTTGTCATTAGCAAATAAGGATAGTTTTTTTCCTCCTCTTTACCTATCTTTATGCCTTTAATTTTGCTCTTATTACTATTACTGACATTTTCCAAATATCACATAATAATGAGGAGAATAGGCATCTTTATTTCCTTCCTATATTTATTGGGCAAAGTTCTAGTGTATACTCATTGCTTATGATGCTTGTTTTTGGTTTTAGATAGATACTTTTTATTCTATTAAAAAAAAGCTATTCTATGCCTGTGCTTTGTAGAGTTTTTAGCACACATTGATGTATCATCTTATCATTTTTTTAATCTCTTGAGATAATCATGAAGTTTAGGATGGTTTTCTTTTAACATGATTATGTTGATTTTTTTTTTAATGTTGAACCGTCCTTGCATCCCTGATATAAGTCCAATTTGGCAAGAATTAATGATTTTTTTTGATGAATTAT